CACACTAATTATTTATTAGAGAACATTTATTCCAAGAGTAGCTGTCTTTGTCTTTTTGACACACAGCCTTTGTGAAAGTTGTTTGAGTATTCCAAGTGTCTGCAGATTCGAGGATAGGATATCTGAATGGGAATACTACCACCACACCAGCATCAAGAAAGGAAGGAGGTACCATCATCGTTCAAAAGCGGATAAGAATTATGTTGGAGCACATATCTCTCTGTCGCCTGGCTGGGCCGGTCTGACACCTGATCTTATTGCCCATCAAGTTAGACTATTGACTATAGAGTATATTTTGTCCTATTTGACTAGCAGAAAGTTCATGAACGTGCCATACTTGATGCCTGTAGACTGGCGCTGTTCAGGTGCACCGAGTAGTGACCCCCCTTCCCTGGTCAAAGAGGGCCAGTGATAATGCCAAGAGTTTATGAATGGCCATTTCCTAGGGCCTGCGCTGTCCCAGTAAAGTAGAAATCAGTGCCAGGTGAGCATAAATATAGAGCAGAGCGGATTGCCCTATCCCAGTTATATATAGTTTGATAACCAGTATCTTGTAATATCAACAGAATTAACATGCTCCTAAACTACCAATCCTCATTTTAACCACATTTCAAATATCCCCATAATTACAATACCAAACACAATCAACACAAGTCCCGATCATGAACTGTGCAATCATCAATCATAACCAACTCCTCTTCTCTTCAAACAATCCATCCATCCCCCTTATCACCACACCCTCCCTTATCGATAACCCATCCCCGATAACGGAACAACCTTCCTCCCCCAACCCCACAACACTAAACCCAATCCATCCTTAGCGCTACCAAATCTCCCCAAAAAAATATTCCCATTGATTTGCAGCAAGCAAAGTTCCAGCCGGCAGCTTTGCACCATACCAACAGCACCCCAATTCCACCCACACCACACATATCATAATTCACCATGCCTAAGCGCAGCAAGCTCCTTCAGGCTCTGGACGAGCACCGCGGTCGCGACTACGAGGCCGAGAAGCAGAAGAAGCTTGTCAAGGCGGCGAAGAAGAAGAACGCTACTATTAAGGGTGATGATGTGAAGGAATCGGTTGTTGAAGAGAAGAAGAAGAAGAAGGAGGAAGAGGAGGAGGAAGTTTCGGAAGAGTCCGAAGAGGAAGAAACCCCCGACGCCGAAGAACCCTCCGAAGATGAGGAAGAAGAAGAAGACGAAGACGAAGAAGAAGAATCCGACATCCCGCTCAGCGACCTGGAGGACGACGAGCGCGAAGACGTCGTCACACACCAGCGCCTCACAATCAACAACAGTGCCGCGATCACCAGCAGTCTGAAACGCATTTCCTTCCTCACTCCCGCGACGCCCTTCTCCGAGCACAACAGTCTTGTCTCGCAAGAGCCGATTGAGGTCCCCGACGCCAACGACGACCTGAACCGCGAACTGGCGTTCTACAAGGTATGCCAAGCGGCGGCGATGACGGCGCGGAGCACGCTCAAGAAAGAAGGCGTGCCGTTTACGCGACCGGGCGATTACTTTGCCGAGATGGTGAAGACGGATGAGCACATGGGCAAGATCAAGAAGAAGTTGTATGATGAGGCGGCGGCGAAGAAGGCCGCTGCGGAGGCGAGAAAGCAGCGCGATCTGAAGAAGTTTGGTAAACAGGTGCAGGTTGCGAAGTTGCAGCAGAGGGCGAAGGAGAAGAGGGAGACGTTGGAGAAGATCAACGCGTTGAAGAAGAGTATGTTCTTACGATTCCATTTTCATTTCCCTTTTGGGGTTGGTTGGTTTGTGTGGCTAACTGTTTTGTGCAGAGCGCAAGGCTGAGACTGGCGGTCCTACGGATGATTCGTCCAACATGTTCGATGTCGCTATTGATGATGCGGCTCAGGCTGGTGGTGGTCGCAAGCGCGGTCGTGATGCTGAGGGTGGTCCATCGATGAAGCGTCAGAAGAAGAATGAGAAGTTCGGGTTTGGTGGTAAGAAGCGCTTTGCTAAGAGTGGTGATGCTGTCTCGAGTGGTGATATGCGTGACTTCTCCGTTAAGAAGATGAAGGGTGGTCCTAAGGGCGGTGGTGCGAAGAGGCCTGGCAAGAGCAGGAGGGCTGCTGCTAAGGGCCGTTCTTGATTCCATTCGCTGTACATTTCTTTATGGTTTGTTTTATTGTTAGCTTGTCGGATACCGGTCGGGTTATAAAAGCAGTGTTTCCATAGACAGTTTGATTTGTATATTGATAATCATGGAATGGTGACTGTCTATCTAGCTGAACCTGAGTAGGGGACTTCATTATGCTGGTATCTCTGGTATCACATCATATCTCAAGAAGCAGAATCCCACCCGCCATGTATCATGCCACTCAACGCCGCTAACCTGACTCCGTAAGTGCTGCGAGCTACGCTACTGAGAAATGTAAGCATGTCATTGAATGTAGAAGCAATAAGTAACATACCTTGTAGTCTGCACACGCACATCATCTGTGCACAGAAATTGTATCTAAATTGTTGCATCCCAGTGATGCCTGACTATGTCTTCACTCCATTAGTGAAGGCGCCATCCACCGGATGCTCAGTATCAAACGCGCCCATCTCTCTGATACGACTGAGGAGATTGTCAACAGGAAGTCCAATGTTGAGTCTCTGTTCAGCAAAGACAAGATCGATCTTTGCTTTAGTATCATCTGCATGAGCCAGGGCATGATCCTGGATCAGCTCCTTGCCACGTTTGGAATTGCTCTTGTGGATGACCTTTTCGCAGCCTCGAACGTGACATGTCCAGGTATCGGATGTTATATCATCTTCATGGGTGGCTTCCAAATCTGATGCATCCGCGTTTGTCTCACGGTCCGCCACAGAAACAGACGTGTTCCGGCTCTGAAGCGTCTCTTGCAATGGCGTCTTTTGGATGGGGGTTGCATCGTACAGAAGCGACCGCGTCCTGCGCTTCGCGCGGGTCGACAACGGGTCGCGAACGAGATCATGTCCGCGGACTTTGCTTGGAGTCTCGAATTCATCCATCGCATCGTCCTCGTTGTCCGAGTCGTCATCTTGGTCATCAACTGCACTTCGTGTTCGCTTGCCGGTCTGCTTCGTGGCAACAGAGCTCTTCGGTCGCAAGACCGACTTGTGTACCCTACGTCTTCGCAGTCGGGGATGGTCTTCATGCTCGCTCTCTTCTCCCGACGATTCATCGTCATCGGTCGGGCGAGGCCGCAGCGGGGTGAGCGTAATTTGCTGAACTCTATTTTTCTTGGCCGCGGCTTTGAGCTCGCGGTAGATAACCTTGCGAGACCAGTCAAAGTTGTATGTTTTCGCCTCGTCCATCATTTCGATGATAGCTTCGGCCCGTGCACCGACAAGGTCGTGTGCGTAGTCGGTACTGTCGATTGCGAAGCGTTCGACGAGGGTGTTGATTAGAAGCTCGAAGGTCAATTGACGCTTGGCCAGGTATCCTGCTTCTTTGAGGTCGAGAATGACCTTGTAGATAGCATCAGCCTGGTCTTTCGATAGTCCAGATGTATCTGTTTGTGCTTCCGCCTCATCCTGGTCCTCTTTCTCGTCCTCTTCCTTGTCTTCCTCTATTTCATCTTCCTCTTCCTCCTCCGACTCTACCTCCTTCGCCCCTTCGTACTGCGCTTTAATCTGCTCGTAATCATCCTACACAATTAGCACATTCCCACCTCTTCCCCTAAGGAAGAACAGAAGGACATACTGGAAACTTCTCGCACAGATGCTCAAAAATGCACGTAGTGGTCCATTGCACATCCTCCTCACCCTTCAACATCCTCGACAGCAGAAAGTCATGATGTTTATAGAACACCTCAGCGGAGTCATCTGCATCCTCACAAATCCCATGCGTATGGCTCACATACTACCCGACCAAAACATCAGCAAACAACATCCACCAAAAAACAGAAGAAAGAAATGGGAACCTACCTCCTCACACAAATACTCTACACTGGGATTCCAATTCCTCCTCTTCCTCCTCCTCTTCGACTGATGACGATCCGCCAGGAAATACAACAAATCGATCGCCTCCACCACATCATTAAAGATGGCCTTGTACCCCTTCGCCGGAGATATCGAGAACCAGCCCGCCTTCCCAGCCACCCAGAACCCGACTTCCCCGTCATTATGTTGTCCGTAGGCGAAGTGGGTGACGTTTTCGAGAACGATGCGTTTCGTCAAGTATTCTGGGTCGACCACTAGCCAGTATTCAGTTAGCACCGCACCCCCTCCATAGCTATAAAGATAAGAAAATGAGGGGGGATTTACCTAGCTTCTCCTGCTCCTCCTCCACCTCATCCAAACACCCCGTCACCTGGACCGGATTCTCCGGCGAGGCAGTCAACAGATTCGCATAGCGGGATTTGCCCGGAACCAGGACTCGAACTTCCGACAGGCTGAACTCTTCCCAGTCGTTTTCGTCGGTGAGGGAGGGGTCTCTGGCGGCCAGGACACTATCTTCGCGGGAGGTCATGGTGGGGACTGCATGTTGCTTTCGATGCTCGGAGGGCGCTTAGTTGAGTAATTTCTCTCGTTTTGGAGAGGGGCTAGATAGATTTAAGAAAAGCAATGGATAAGGTGGTGGGTAAGTAGTAAAGTGACGGATTGAATGAGTAAGTGAACGAGGGAGGAGTAGTAACTGAAGTGAGGGATAGATACTAAGTAGTAGAGGGACGGAGGGGTGAAGCTGACTGACTGACTGACTGCAGTCACAGCGATGATGCTGCTTGTTGTGCTGCCAGCCGGAGGACAGTCCGGTAATTTACCAGACATTTACACCACTGCTTATGCCGGGAATAGGTGCGGAGGTGGGCAAGCTTACCGGGTAATTACTGCATTTGAAGTGGTAAATTACTACTACCAGCGGGATTTCTTTCATGCCTAGACTGGACTAGACTCGGTCCCGTAATGGGAAACTTGCATTGCGGGTAAGTTTGTAACTTTGCGGAGCTGAAAATATATTTTTGGTCGAACTTCACTACTAACTTACTACTTTACTACTTTGGGTGTAGTATTCGTTGCACCTCTATTTTCTTCGGTTATATTTGGCTATATATATATATGTGTGTGTACGATCGCATCACCGAGCTGTGCTAGTCGATCAATCAATTGTGCTTCCCCAATAACCTCACCCACCTTCCGACCCTCATCGCTCGCCGATGAGCTTCCGTCAAGCCCTCAGACCCTTCCGTCGCACCATGTCCGGTGAAAAGATCTACGAAGGCGTATTCGGTAATTCTCCTTCTAATCACCCCCTCTAACCCGACATCTATCTAACAATGGGTAATGAACAGCCGTCCACAAACCCCAAGGCGTCTCCTCCGCCGACGTCGTCCGTACCCTCCAAACGCACTTCAACCCCTCCAAGCTCTTCGCCCCCTGGCTCGCCGACGAGCGCGCCCGTCGCGCCCGCGAAAGCAATTTCCAGCGCAAGCGCCGCCGCACGCAGCGTCTCGACGTCAAGATCGGCCACGGAGGCACCCTCGACCCCCTGGCGACCGGCGTTCTCGTCGCGGGCGTCGGCAAGGGCACGAAACATCTGAACGAGTTCTTGGGATGCACGAAGCAATATGAGACCGTTGTGCTGTTCGGCGCCGAGACAGATACCTATGATCGACTGGGAAAGGTGGTGCGCAAGGCGCCCTACGAGCATGTGACGAGGGAGATGGTCGAGAAGGCATTGGAGCAGTTCCGCGGGAAGATCATGCAACGGCCGCCGATTTTCTCGGCGCTCAGGGTCAATGGAAAAAAGCTTTATGAGTATGCGCGCGAAGGCAAGGAGCCGCCGATTGAGATCCAGAAGAGGCCGGTTGAGGTCACGGATTTGAGGATCCTGGAGTGGTATGAGCCTGGGACTCATGAGTTTAAGTGGCCGGAGGTTGAGGCTGAGGGCGAGGAGAAGGCTGTCGCGGAAAAATTGTTGGCGAAGGAGGACGAGTTGCCCGCTGTGGAGAAGGAGGGTGAGGGAGAAGGAGAGGCCTCTGCGAAGAGAAAGTCCCCGCCTGCGGAGGATGCTCAGGAGAAGGTTGAAGGTGACGATGCTGAGTCTGCTCCCTCGGCTAAGAAGCAGAAGGTTGCTGAGGGTGAGGCTGCGCCTGTTGAGCCGGCCGAGCAGGAGTCTTCGGAGGCTACCAAGGAGGAAGCTAAGGAGGGAGCCTCCGAGTCCAAGCCCCAGTCGCAGCCTCAGCCGGCTGCGGTGAAGATCACCATGACGGTGTCGTCTGGTTTCTATGTGCGCTCGTTGGCGCACGATCTGGGCAAGGCGGTCGGAAGCTGCGGTCTGATGAGCTCGCTCATCCGGTCCCGTCAGGCCCAGTTCGAGCTTCACCCGGACAAGGTGCTCGAGTACAAGGACCTCGAGGCCGGCGAGGAGGTCTGGGGTCCCAAGGTTCAAAAATTCCTTGAGGACTGGGAGGAGAAGCGACTGGCTCGGCCGTCGTCCCCGCGTTCCCCGAAACAGAATTAGTCTGTAGCTACTAGGCCGGCGTTGGGAGATGTAATAAATGTTCGCATGTATTCTTGGATGTTGAAGGATGAGTAGATGTTTGCCAACATGTCGGGAATAGTCTTCCAACTTTGCTCAAGCAGGAGCTAGCCAGTCAACCAACAGTCTAAGGCTACAATCCAAGACTTAACGGGACCGCACTGCTGACAGTAGAACAATCTAAATGTCTGGACAACCACGCCACGCTATTAAAGAACCAACCGCCAATGCTGCTAATGTCGACACGAAGAATCCCAAGACCCACATCCTACAGAGCAAGCCGACAGAACATCCTGTCTCACCAACAAGTCCAACAAAAAGGGATAGAAGAGTAGAATGTGATGGATACAAAACAGTGGGTAGAAGGAAACCGTTTTGAGGGGGTATACCGCTGAAAACACCGGATGAGGAAGGAAAGGAGGAAGGAATGCGCAATATATGCAGGTCAAGGAGAAGGAAAAGGCACAAGCTCTATGCAGGAGATCAAGGCTAATGAGAGACGGTCTGGTAGGTGTTGTGAGCGTCGAGCAGCGCTAACATTGTGTTAGTTACCATCCGTTGAACGTTTCAAAAGGCGGGCGACTTACTCTGAAGCACAAAGGTTTGCCCCTGTCTCGACTCGCAGGCGCACTGGAGAGTGTTGCCGTCCAGGAAATCCAGCAGGATGCTGTTGGGCAGCTCCTGGCGGTCTTCGTCCGGCAGGCAAGGAGTGCGGAACTCAGACATATGATACCGCTTGACTAGGTTGCGGTTGGTCGAGTCCAGATTGCCAGGCGTCAGGATCAGATAACCCTGGTCATCAATTCGGACAAACCGACGCTTCCACAGGAGAGTGTCAGGAAACTGCACATTGACCTCGCCAATATCAATCGCCGGAGCCACCTCCGTCGCCCTCGAGACTGGCCTCTCGGGTTCCTCAAGCTTGATGGGGACCACATGGTCATCTCCCTTGATAGGGTTCAACACACCAACAACGCTCTTACGCGAAGTGATAGAGGACATGCGGCGCAGGAGTCGCGTCGCACGGGATTCTTTCTTCTCATCAGGGGAGGAGGGCGCATCACCAGACGACTTGGCGGGTGATGCTACCTCTTCTTCTTTAATGGATGTAGGGGTAGAGATTCGACTCTCCGGACGCTGCATGGACACGGAGGATTGCTGGTCGGATCCAGCAGAGGACGGGGGCAAGGTATCATCTTCCGACGGAGTGATGGTAGGTTCTGTTTGCAGACTCAACACAGGGAGCTGTGTAGTTTCCTGTTCAACAGTAATCTGGCTGGGTTGTAGATTGAGGACGGCCGGCTCGGATGGGTCAGCGTTCGGGTTGGTTTCAGCAGCGGTGGGATCGCGAACAATGCGAGCGGTCACAGAGACCGAGCTAGGAGAGCGCGAGAGGCCAGGACCAGCGAGGCCAGGGCCCGCCTGTGAGCTAGGTCGTCTCACACTTGCTGAGCGCGAGAAAGATTCAGGGGCGTATGAGAGAGGTCGGGGCATCGAAGGTCCCGAGTAGCCTTTGCGAAGAGTCTCGAAGGAGGCAGCGGAGGGGGCGGCGAGGGTTTGGCCGTTCGTAGAAGGGGCGTCGCGATTGCTGGAGAACTTCTCCAATGCCTTGATGCGGCTGGAGATGCCCGACGACACATTGATCTTCCTTGCCACCAGGACCGGCCCGTTCGGGGAACCAGAATCGGCACCCGTCGTCGAGACGGAGCGGCCCATGGCTACGGTCGACATGTTGGGAGACTGGTGTCCAATGGCACTGGGGTTTGAAACGGCACGCGAATTCCTCCACGCATCAGGCGAGACGTTGCCGTTGCTGCTGTTGGAGTAGCCTGGGGAGAGGGGTGACACGCCCACGGAGATGGGCTTGGCCTCCTCAACCGTGGCACTGGTCAATTCTTCCATGAAGGAGTCGTCTGAAAGAAGGTTCTCGTCATCCGAGTAGTCGGGAGTTGGGACTTGAATAGGTTCGAGGTAGGGTTTGCGTTTCTCCTTTCGAGACGTGCTGTGCTGTCGCTCCACATTCGAGGATTCAGGGGTCAAGTCATGCTGCGGCTCCGTCGGAGGGGGAGCGGCGATCGACAAGGACTTGGGGGTGAAGGTGGCCGCTGGAAGATGGTGGGGGGAATCGGGCCGAGCAGGCGACTCGAATAGATCGGACTCAGTCACGTCTGGCGTGCTGGGTTGGTGGTGGTGGTGGTGGTGGTGAGGGAGGACCTCTTGTTCGCCAGGAACAACAGGATGGGGGACTGGTTTTGGTGGCGAGGGGCCAACAATCTCTTCGTCCGGAGCCTTTCCAGAATTGTTCTCGAGTGGAGCGGCGATGGCGCTAGGCAGCCTAGTCGGGGAGCTGGGGCCACCCGAGACGCCTCCGGAATTGGATGCGTCCAAGTCCCTGTCGCCCTCCTGCGTTTCAGATCCCGAACGAGTGGGTGTTGTCGCCTGAACCTCATTACTGCTGTCGCTCAGGTGTTCCGGTTGGCTAAGGGAGAGGTGGTCGCCCGAGGGTTCAGGGGATTTAGGAGTAGTACGGCCGTCTTCTTCCTCAGCCCCCTGATGACGGAGCGTGGGCTGCAGGCTTGGCTGAGTTTCGGAAAGGGGCTCCTTGTTCGGCCCTGCCAAGTGGGCCATTCGGTCATCGCCCCCGTCGTGCTTCATTCTACTTGGTATATGACCGATGTTCTCCTTATTTTCGGTCATATCCAGCCCGGACGTCTCTCCCTTATCTGTCGCGGAACTGTTCTTCCCTTCCTTTGCTTTTTTCTCCATTTGCGTTTTCCGCATCTGAAGCGCCTTCATCAACCGCTCTTTCTCGTTGGACGTGGTGGAGGAAGACAGCGCGCTTAGTGACTTGGCACCGGGCGATATTTTGGGCCGCGAGATGGGCATGGAAAAGGGAGGCACCAGTAACGGAGGCACCGCTGGTACTTTGCTGGCGACGGGGGTCCCGTTGCCTCCAGAAGATCGAGGCCGCGAAGGACTGGGATTGGACTTGCGCAGTGATGATGATCGAACGCCCGCAGGCAAAGATGCCACAGGCCGCCGCTCAGCGCTCCGAGAGAGGTTGCCTGCCGTGCGAGGGCGTCCGCTGCCATCTACTGAAGGGCGGGGGCCCAGCTTAACCTTAGCTTTGTATCCGGCACGTTCCAGGTCACGTACTGACGGCCTGGCGGACTGCGAAGATTGGCGGGGCTCCGACGGAGCATAGGATGCGTCTTCTCGAAAGCTCTTATAGGAAGGAGCCCGCTCCGACGTGGCCACGGACGAGGACCGCTCTCGAATGGAGGCGTTTTCGGAAGTTTTCGGGGTCGAATCGTTGCCGACTGGTGATTGCTGGATACTCGACACCACTGATGGGGGAACCACCGTGGCTTCGGACAGCTGACTGAACGATCTCTGGCGCGGCATTCCATCGGCCGCGGACTGCGCCTGGTTCTCGTCCTTGCCTACGGTAATCTCTTCGGCATCTTCCGCGATCTCTTTCAATCGGCGACGACGGAGGGAGCTGGAAGAGGAAGTGATCGAACCGGAAGCCGTATGCAGTAAGCATGCGGAGGACAATGCGCTTTCTGTAAGTTCCGATGGCTGCGTCACCGAGAATACCGTATCATGCGGGGAGAACTTGTCTAGAATCGATTGGAATTGGACCGTCGTTCGGGCTGCAGGGAGATGACGAGGTCAGTGGATGCAGGATTGTCAGGACGGGACAATATATCTTGGACGAACCCTGAACGAGACGGGACATGCCCTCTGGCAGATAGCTGAGGACCACTTTCCGTCGCCGATATTGTAGGAAGCCATAGAGCGGAGACTTCTCCTCGTAGCTGTCGATCGCGTTGCGCACGTCGGGCACCCCGCCGGTGCCGCGATCAAGGAGATCGACTTCATCCCTTGATACATACCGGAGGAGAAACCTAGAAGAGACCCAAGCCATGCGCATTAGCGACAGTCGATGCGATTGGGTTGCAATGGCCACCCTTGCAACGGAGGACCCGAAGGTGCTGCAGGGTATAGCCGAGACACACGGACTAAGTACTTACCATCCACCGGCCTCAGTGAGCGCGGTCTGGTAGGCATCGATGACGGTGGGATTATCTAGCCCATTGAGCGACATGACGGGAACTGCATTGGAGGCAGATGCCAAGGACCGTCACAGATCACGATTCAAGTGATGATGATGATGGACGATGGGGGAGGAGGGGAAGAGAAGAAAGAGGAGGGCGAGAGGAGGAAAAAAGAGGGGAAAGGGAGGGTCTAGCGGAAAGGTTCAGGATGTAAGGAAGCAAAGCAAAGCAAAGCCAAGCAGTGCGCCGATGTGTGATGGCAGCGAGAGCGAGACACACACCAGCGGTGGAGCGAGATCAAGACGGGCGGGACACACTAAACGGGGGGATGGATTGAGAATCAGATACAATGTATAACTAATTCCTTTTCCGTGAACAAGAATGCTGATCCATCCGCAAAGACGGCCGAGAGGACCGAGTTGGTTGGTGACTTTTGTGCCCACGAACCTCTCAGGAGTTCAGCCCGGTCTTTGAGACCGTTCAGGGGCAGAAATGAGGGGGGGAGATGGTGAGTGATGGTTGGTTGGTTGGTTGATAATGAATGGGTGTGGAAAAAGTGGATTGGCCTGGGTGCCTTTCTCTCCACTTTCAAGTCACAAGTTGTCCAATAACTTGAATAAGTTCATTCATTCACTGAGGGAGAGAATGAGTAGGAAGGGAAAAGAAAAAGAAAGGAAGTCAAGTAGTTTAATCCCAATATTAATGTATCTGTCTCTGTCCGCTTCTCTCATTAATCAGGCCATTGACAAGTGGACTACTACTAGTACTTGATGAAATTATGTCCCTGAAGGCAACACCAGATGGGGTTCCAATAATGACGCCGCAGAAGGAAGTCCGACCGTGGGACTATTGGTTGAACCAATTTTCAATTGACTGACTCTTCAGGTACCGACTTGCTTTACTTAGTAGTTGTTAATACTAGTTCACACCCCTTCTCCACGGTCGCGGAATACAATTTGTTAGAGAACGACTCATGTTGCTCGTGGTTCCAATTCCTCTCGGCATCCGACAACCGGCATGAACGGGAGGAGGAGGAGGAGGAGGAGGAGGAGGAGGAGGAGGAGGAGGAGGAGGAGGAGGAGGAG